AGAGAGAGAGAGACAGATACGGAGAGAGAGGCGGAGAGAGAGAGGGAGAGAAGGTCCTCGCGTCACGTCGGACCCGACGTACGGCGTTTCGTGGTTACGGCGCCATCTCCCATAATATAATAGATCGTCACGTGGCGTTATATGAGGAAGACGGCGTTGTTTCTTCATCCGCTGTACACCATAATGGATCGTGCTACATTCGCTATCTCTCGTTTGCGTCGTTTTTGGTGGGAGACTTTTTGCCCTTTATTATGGCTCCCAAGCTCAAGGCAGACTCGTGAGTGCTTATGTAGGTGGTTCAAACTTACATTGGAAATCAGGTTACGTAACGTCGTATGATATATCGTATGACGTATGATATATATATATATATATATATATATATATATATATATATATATATATTAAAAAAAATTTTTATTATAATAGATTACAATAAAAACGCTTTTACATCTCTACACAAAATCTTTCATGTTTCGGAACTTCAATCGTTCCTCATCGAGTGATGGTAAATATAATACAAATGGTTTATTTGGAAAATCAATACCTCTTTTAATTCTGACATTAGGCTCCCCCCTTTTTAACTTTCATAAGAGGTTATGATTTGTTTTCAAATTCTCAAATAAATCATTTGTATTATTTTATCTATCATCGCCCGATGCGGAACGATTGAAGTTCCGAAACATGAAAGATTTTGTGTAGTGATGTAAAAAGTTTTTATTGTAATCTATTATAATAAAAATATTTTAGTAATATTATATTTTGCTCTACGTTTGCATTGACCACTTTTTAAAAAGTAAATGCTAAGAACTGTGGATTCTAATTCCATCTGTTCTTTCTCTTTCTACGATCCATCTATCTATCTATCTATCTATCTATCTATCTATATATATATATATATATATATATATATATATAGTGTACTCTCCCGTCGTATTCCACGTATGAGGGTGAAGCAGCTCAGTTCCTAGGAATCGACAGCCAGACAACCTGCAGTTGTGCTTCTAGACCAGCTGCCACCCAAGTCTATAGAACCTAGTCTGTCCTGATATTTACTGGAGGGAGAAGAAGAGGATTAATACCTTTCTCAAGGGTATTAGCACGTAAGTGAATGTAATGTATGTGTTTGTGTGTGTGTGTGTGTGTGTGTGTGTGTGTGTAAATATTGCGACGAAAATATCCATGGCAACGAAGAAAAGAGTCTTAAAAACGCTCTGCGGAAAAAAAAACGGTGAGAAGTCGCGCGGAAAAACGAAGATGGATTGCAAGTAACGGACAGAAAGCTAAGTAAAAAAAATATAATCTTCTTTTGTAGAATATTGCCTTCTACATTGAAATATCTGAGATATCGCTCTCTATAACTTTATTCTTTATGTGAACATTAATTCACTAGAACATTGAATTTAAAATATTTTATTTTATTCCATCACACCTCAAAACTATCTCCACTCTAATATCTATTTCTCTCAAGTTACAAATTAAATTGTTTTTTATTGTTACGATCGTCTTATCTTCTTCATTTGTTTGGATAAATCTTTGCTACTTTTATTTTGCTGCTTTTTTCTGTTAACCCAAATTTTGTCTGAATCCATGTTTATACCCGAACCACATCCCTGAGCTAACCTGGGTATAGAATATCCGACGTAAATATAATTTTTTTTTATGACACAGCAGCCGGGGTCATCAGAGAAAATTCGATTATACTTCGAAGCTTCGCCCCGCTCGCGACAGTATACAGATATAAATAAAAATATATCTGTAAAAAGACAATATGAAAAAAGAAAAACATTTCTTTGCCGATGCGTTTCGTCCTCTGATGTTAGGCAAATGTAAATATTCTTCAGGCTCATTGTGTATGTCGAGGTAAACTATGGAGAATGCTACGTGATGTAATCTAATGCTTAATAAACGCAAATAGATGAGTAGATCATGTAAATGTTATAACAGCATTTACTAACTTTCGTTTATTAGACATTAAATTATATCATTTACCATCCTTCATAATTTACCTTGACTTTAACAATTCGCCTGGAGAATATTTATGAGCCTTCTTGAATTTAATAAAATGGTTTACGGCCACATTCCGTTGAAACATTGGTTCCTGTACGATCACCGAATTTAAGAGACTTGTCAGTGCCTAGATGGATGACCACTTGGGAATACCAGGTGCTATAAGGTTGGATGTGCGATTGGTGTAATGGATGATCGATTGGAATTGTTAATCGGAGAGCCGAGTTCGAATTCCCTTTGGGTTAGTTATATTCACTTACGTGCAAATGTCTTTGAGAGAGATATGAATCCACCTCTTCTCCCTACAGCTATGGGTTAATTATATAGTATTAATACACTAAACCATTATTATGTCGATAAAAAAAATTCTTACGATCTAAAAAATATTTGTCTTTAAAAGCTGTAAAAAATGAATCAATAAGTTTTTTTGAGTTTTAAAAACCTAGCGTTATTTTTATTTCTGTTTATAAATACTTGTTGCAAAATTTGCCTTGATAGGACGATAGGTGCCAATAAAGATAATTTTCCCTTTTCTCTTCAATCATATATGTATATATGTGTATGTGTGTGCGAGTGTGTCTGTTTATATGTGTGTATGTGTTCGTTCATGTATGTGTGTGCGAGTGTGTCCGTCTATGTGTGTGTATGTGTTCGTGTATGTAAGTGTATGTGTGTGCGAGTGTGTCCGTCTATGTGTGTGTATGTGTTCGTGTATGTATGTGTATGTGTGCGAGTGTGTCTATCTATATGTGTGTATGTGTTCGTGTATGTATGTGTATTTGCGTGCGAGTGTGTCTATATATGTATGTGTATGTGTTCGTTTATGTATGTGTATTTGTGTGCGAGAGTATCCGTCTATGTGTGTGCATGTGTTCGTGTATGTATGTGTATGTGTATGAATCTTTCAGTACTAGTATATAATACGCCAAATGGTTTTCTGTCTGAATGATCTTTACTGAGTTTACGATATTAGTATTTTCTAGAATTACATTATTTGAATTCTTTACATTATTTGAATTCTTTACATTATTTGAATTCTTTACATTATTTAAATTCTTTACATTATTTGAATTCTTTACATTATTTGAATTCTTTACATTGTATTTCTTACGTCAGGTAGCAACATATTTAATCCGACAATGGCGGTCTGTGTCTTCTCTTTCTTAAATATCAAGCGTTAAAATGATCAATAGCATGTATAATTCGTGATGGCAATCCATTGAGATTTGATCAAAACAACGCTTGGCTGGAGCTTATGTGGCTGATGCTTTATTTTTAAAAATGCAGGCTTCCTTTATATATATATATATATATATATATATATATATATATATATGGTGTCCATAAAGTTCGTGCACTTTAAAAAAATTATAACTTTATTTGTATTTGCGATAGAAATAATCTGTAAAAAATGTTATAAAGTTTAATGTACTTAGTTTTAAGTATAGCTAAAATAACTAATGTGATTTCAGGCATTACTGTAAATCAGTTGGCAAATGTTTTCCGTGAACTGCAAAATCGTATTACCTTTTGTATTGCTAATGATGGAGGACATGTGGAAACTTAAACAAAATTTCAATAAAACCTTAAAAAAATATAGATTTACTTCTTTCTAATCCTTTTACAAATTATTTCTATCGCAAAGACAAATAAAGTTAAAATTTTTTAAAGTGCACACGAACTTTATGGACAATTATATATATATATATATATATATATATATATATATATATATATATATATATATATTAGGATATTACATCGAAAAATATGTCAAAATCTACATTAATTGCAATCGTGTTTCGATGCGTATCAAATGCATCTCATCAAGAGAATTGTAAATTACTGGTGAGTGGACGATTTATTTAGATTTAAAAGCAAAATACAACCTCTTTTATGAAAGAAAGAAAAAAAGGGGGTATGTGGGTTTTACTCAGATCAACCAATCGAATATACGAATCGAACGTAGGTCATATACGGTTGGTTGATCTGAGTAAACTCCATAAACCAAAGCAATTAACAAGAAACTGCGTCTCCTCGAGAGATGCTGCATCGTCGGCGAGAAGGAGGTCACGAATTATGGCTTTTATGACTTGTGTCTTGACCTTAAACCGCTGGTGACTGAATAGTCCGCCACTTGTGCGAAATTGGAACTTAACACCAACATTCGTCTCACTGAAAGCGTGTTTGAGCCTGACAGAAAAGAAAAGAGCGAACTAGAGAGGCGCCATGACACTGCCTAGTTTAGTGCCATTTGTGACATTAAATAGATCGGAAGTGTTGCCATCATTATCAGCAGAGGTTTTCATCCATTCATGGAAGGAAATGATAACGTTAAGCATGTTGTCAGGTATGCCGAGTCTCTTCAGAACTTTCCAGAGGGCTTCCTTGTTCACCGTGTCGAAGGCATTTGAAGGGTCAAACACCATGTACAGTTCCTGATTCTTTTCCTGAGCTTTCTCAGCAACCTGATGAAGAGAAAATATCATGTCAATGGTGCCTCGGCCAGAGCGAAAGGCACATTGGGATTCTGGATAAATATTATTCAAGAGAGGCTTGATTATTTGGTTGGGAATAAGGCGAGCCAGTATTTTACTTACAATGGACAAGAGAGTTATTCCGCGATGATTGCCACGCACACTTTTATTTACTTTATTCTTGTACAGGTGCTAGATCGGTGCATCCTTGAATCTTGAGGGACAGAGCCCCCCCCCTCCAAATTTTGATAGAGAAGTTATGCTGTTTCTTCATAAGCCAAAAATTCAGTTGGCAGATAATCTTTTCCAGTAGACTTTCCAGATGACAGTTGCTCCAGTGAAATGAGCAGCTCTTCGTGTCTCGGCTCATGTGATGGTTCAGGGAGTTCTGGCAGTTGCACAATGGATTCAATGCTCTCATTGTCAATCAGAGGCGTGGTGTTTAGAACGGATTCAACGTGGATTTTCCAACGTTTGAGGATATCAGCCTTGTTGGTCAGGATGGTCTCAACATCAGCTGATAGTCTGGCCGCATTGGCGTAGATTGAAGAAGAAGAAGAAGAAGAAGAAGAAGAAGAAGAAGAAGAAGAAGAAGAAAGAAGAAGAAGACGACGACGACGACGACGATGAAGAAGAAGAAGAAGAAGAAGAAGACGACGAAGAAGAAGAAGAAGAAGAAGAAGAAGAGGGAGGCATGAATGACAACGGATTACGGCTTTTGTCAATATTTAGGGAATTTAATATCTGCATAGCAAATACCTTCTTTCAACAACCGAACCACCGCAAGACAACTTGGATACACCCTAATTCCAAGTCCTGGCATCACATCGATAAAATTGATCGTATATATATATATATATATATATATATATATATATATATAATATATATATTAATGTATAATATATCAAGTGATTTTGCATCAGTACGTTTTTTACAGCATTAGAGTTCCCTCGCTTGTATTTGTGGCAATAGGGGGCGGGGCAATGTCTCTATTATGACAATGCCAGACGATTTCTCCCCCCCCTTTTTAATGTAATTCAACTAGAAGGCACGGCGGAGTAATGAATAGCGGCTCGGAGAGCCGTGTTCGAATTCCAGTCAGCTCCATGACATTCACTCGCGTGCTAATACCCTTGGGAACGGTATGATTTCTCTTCTCTCCTCCCAGTTATGGGTAAATAGCAGGACAGACCTTGGATGGCAATTGGTCTACCGTAGAAAGAAATGGCAACCTACTGCGGGAAGAAAATCTGTCTCGTCAGTCATGTATCGAAAGATACATGATCACCTAAGCGTGTATCACGCATGGCACATAACTGACTGAATTCAAATTTATTCTAATTACTAAAAACTACAGAATTATTTTCCTGGTATATTTGAAGATAAAAGAAAATTATAACGAAATACATTTTAAAATGTAAAATTTTTAAAAACATGAAAATCTGGTTTTAATTCCTGGAATTTATGCATTTTCGAATTAATTTTTAAAGATTAATATTCAAAAATTATTTTTCTGTTATTAAAAATAAAATCAATAAAATTAAAATCTGATCATCTGACACCTTTTGAAATCGCTTCGTGTGAAAAAAAAACGAGGGAAGAAATTGTGATGAGGTGTGTCGGACGAGAAGGTGAATATAACACGAGGGTAGAATCAAAAGAAATATTTATTATAGAGGGTAGAAAGAAACAACAAAAAAAATAAGGCAGCAGAGATCGCAAAGAGAAATCGAGCCAAAATAGATGAAAAGAAAGAAGGGAAAGAAGAAAGAGAGAGAGATAAATGTAGTTTGAGTAATCGAGATAAGGAATTAGCGAGAGAGGAAAGGAATGCACCTAAAGAATAAATAAGGAGTGGTATATAGAAAGAAAAAAGGAGAGGGAGAATAAATGTATTGTGCAAAGAGTGAGCCGGAAGGAGAGAACATGAAAAGAAAAAAAGGAGAGTGGGGAGGTAGTTTTAAAAAATAAATTAAGGGAAGAGAAAAGAAAGAGTTTAAAACAAAACGAATGAGTGAAATACCGTTATTTTCTTCTCGCTTTAGTCGTGGTACATACAAAACTGATGCAATTTAAATTGATTGGTCAGTTCGTTGAGATCCGATGACGTATTGAGATAACTAAAGACGCACTCCAAAAGCTGGGCAGAGTATTAAGAGACAGGAGGATTTCTTTGGTAACAAAGAAAAGTGTACTGAGCTGTTAAGTGACATCTGTTCTTCTTTACGACAGCGATTGTTGAACGCTCTCCTCAAAGATGAAGAAGAGACTCGAGGCAAAGAAGTTATGGTTATACAGAAGGATGCTAAGGATATCTTGGACCGAACATACTGGGATGGCCAAAGACGCATTCCATAAGCTAGGCAGAGTATTAAGAGACAGGAGGATTTCTTTTGTAACAAAGAAAAGAATATCGAGCTGCTACGTGACATCTGTCCTTCTTTACGGCAGCGATTGTTGAACGCTCTCCTCAAAGATGAAGAAGAGATTCGAGGCAACGGATGTATGATTCTACAGAAGGATGCTAAGGATATCATGGACCAAGCGTGTGAGAAACGATCAGGTTTTGGAGAGGATGCGAACAAGAAGGAAGCTTACACTTAACATCAGGAAGAGGTAGATGAAATTTCTGGGACACGTAATGAGAAAAGAGGGCTTGGAGAATCTGATACTCACGGGTCAAATAGAGGGAAAGAGAGACAAGGAAGTGGGCGGTACGATACCTATGACATACCTGGCGGGTGTTAAGTGATAATCCGAAATTGATTCTATCCATAGTTCTTAAGTGATAATCCGAAATTGATTCTATCCATAGAATCAATTTCGGATTATCACTTAAGAACATTCCCACCACGAACGCCATTTATTTTACATCTGTTGTAACATACCTACGGACGATAATGGGTATGTCCCCACTCACATAAATACAGTAGTAAATACTGTATGTTTGTCTGCAGTTAGATATTCATTGTGTAATTCACTTGACTCATTTCCAGCAGTTGACTATTTCTTCTACGCCCCGCTAGCGAATCTTACATGTGTTGTTCTTGTCCTAAGTATTATCGTTCATTACTAACCTTCATTTGATTATTCTATTCAGTAACCTTCCCTAGGTTACAACAGTATATAATTTTATCAAGAAGGACATTACTTTAGTCTGATGAAGTCTGTTTAAAGGTCGAAACGCGTTGCATAGAATTTTTTTCCATTTTGTCATTAAATAACCCAACATATGGAAGTTTTTAATATTTTTACTAACGAAATTAACATTTTCTGTGTAACTGAATTTGTTCGATCTCGCGTGATTGATTTTTTATTGATTTGTCAGGTTTTGGTTCTTCTTTGTTATAGTCGAAATTAAAATCAGTTACTAATACAAGCGTAACGTACTGACATTGTCGGTCTTCAAATCACTACTTCAAAATATTTATTCTAAGAATTTTGGCTTTTTGAAATAAATATGACTTCCAAAATGCGTAACAGAAGAAAGATGAAGCGAATAGAAATAGAAAAAATTAAGAAGAAAAAAACCTGGGCATAAATTATAGTCATATAGATTAATCAATAGATTTATTGATGGATAGGGAGAAAGATATGAACAGACAGGCAGATAAGTAGCTAACGGGACAGACAGATGAATATTAAAAGGTAGATATGAACATACTAAAACAGACACACAGACAGACAGGTAGGCAGACAGACAGACAGACAGACAGATAGATAGATAGATAGATAGATAGATAGATAGATTTGAAAAGTCTAGGATAGATACATAAATATAGTCATGAACAAAGTGAGATAGATAGATAGATGAATAGATAGATAGATAGATAGATAGATAGATAGATATGAAGCGTCTGGAACAAACTGAGATAGATGGGCATGAAAAACATAGATAGATAGATAGATGAGATAAAAAAAGTCTGGGATACACAGACACACAAAAAAGATCATGAACAAATTGAGATAGATAGATAGATAGATAGATAGATTTGAAAAGTCTAGGACATACACAGACACACAAAAACGTCATGAACAAATTGAGATAGATGATAGATAGATAGATGAATGATAGATAGATAGATAGATATGAATGATATGAAAAGTCTAGGACATACAGACATAGATGGGCATGAAAAACATAGATAGATAGATAGATAGATAGATATGAAAAGTCTATGATACACAGACACTAAAAACGTCATGAACAAATTGAGATAGATAGATAGATAGATAGATAGATAGATAGATATGAAAAGTCTAGGACATACACAGACACACAAAGAACGTCATGAACAAATTGAGATAGATAGATAGATAGATAGATAGATATGAAAAGTCTAGGACATACACAGACACACAAAGAACGTCATGAACAAATTGAGATAGATAGATAGATAGATAGATAGATAGATAGATATGAAAAGTCTAGGACATACACAGACACACAAAGAACGTGACGAACAAACTGAAATAGATAGATAGATAGATAGATAGATAGATAGATAGATAGATAGATAGATGTGAAAAGTCTAGGATATACACAGATACATAAAGATAGTTATGAACAAAGTGAGATAGATAGATAGACAGATAGATAGGTAGAAATAGGTAGAAAGAGAGCCTGCAATTTATTCAAGGAAAAAGAAGAAAATATAGTGAAACAAATAGAAATAAATTTAACAAAAAAATAAGAGAAATCAAAAGAAGAAATTTGACACGATTTTCCTTTCTTGCTAGTTATGCAATTGTGGACATAACAAGAACAGAAATTGTGAGATACAGAAAGAATTCGACACGATCTCTCTGTTGAAGCAAAAGACCCTCCGGGAAATGATTGGTTATTTAATAGAATTACATCGAACAAAAGTTCCGAGTGCGCTTGCGCAGAAAACGAGCGTGCAAGAAACAGAAAGAATGAAGCAGAAAAGAAAGCGAAAATGAGAGAGCGAGAGGGAATGTGTGTGTGTGTGGCTTTGTTGAAAAAATGATATAGAAAATAAACGCAGTAATTGTGCGCGTGTGACGACATCACATTTATAAATACTTATCAGTGTGTGCAGGTAAGTTCTCAGCCCGAGCATGAAGTGATTCCAAAATAAATCTAGAAAGTGTGAGAACTTTTCAGCACGCCATCGTACATATATATATATATATACTTACCTGGTTCTGCCAGAATTACCATTGGCATTAAAATTAAGTCTAATGAATGAAGAAGAATTAATTTTAAGTTCCAGAGAAGCAGACAGTATCTGTTCTATAAGAGAGGACAAGATTTAATTCTTAACGCCTGAGGCTAGCAATTTGGGACTACCGATTTAAATTCGGCCTTGTGTCATATTTGAGTGCAAAGAAAAAAATGGATACATTCAAAATAGAAAGAATGAATGAAAGAAAAAAGAAACAGAGAAAGAAATTGATACATTCAGAAAAGAAAGAAGGAAAGAAAAAAGAATGAAACGGATACATCCAGAAAAGTAAGAAAGAAAGAAAAGAAAGAAAAGAAATGGATAGATTAATAAAAGAACTAGGCAATTAGATACATTCAGAAAAGGAAGAAAAGAAAGAAAAAGAAAAGAAAAAAGAAATGGATAGAAATAAAAAGAAATGGATACGATCAAATTAATAAAAGAACGAGGCAATTAGATACATTCAGAAAAGAAAGAAAGAAAGAAAAGAAAGAAAAATGAAAGAAAAGAAATGGATAGATTAATAAAAAGAACGAGGCAATTAGATACATTCAGAAAAGGAAAAGAAAAGAAAGAAAAGAAAGAAAAATTAGAAAAGAAAAGAAAAAGGATAGATTAATAAAAGAACGAGGCAATTAGATACATTCAGAAAAGGAAGAAAAGAAAGAAAGAAAGAAAAAAGAAAGAAAAAAATGGATAGATTAATAAAAGAACGAGGCAATTAGATACATTCAGAAAAAGAAGAAAGAAAGAAAAGAAAGAAAAGAAAAAGAAAGAAATGGATAGATTAATAAAAAGAACGAGGCAATTAGATACATTCAAAAAAAAGGAAGAAAGAAAGAAAGAAAAGAAAGAAATGGATAGAAATAAAAAAAACGGATAGATACATTCAAAAAGAACGAAAAGAAAAGAAAGAAAAGAAATGGATAGATTAATAAAAAGAAACGAGGTACATTTCAGAAAAGGAAGAAAAAGAAAGAAAAAAGAAAAGAAAGAAAAAATGGATGAATTAATAAAAAGAACGAAAGGAAATTAGATACATTCATTCAGAAAAACAAAGAAAGAAAAAAAAGAAAGAAAAGAAAGAAAGAAATGGATAGATTAATAAAAGAACGAGGCAATTAGATACATTCAGAAAAAATGAAGAAAAGAAAAAAGAAAGAAAAGAAAGAAAGAAATGGATAGATTAATAAAAAGAACGAGGCAATTAGATACATTCAGAAAAGGAAGAAAGAAAGAAAAGAAAAAAAAGAAAGAAATGGATAGATTAATAAAAGAACGAGGCAATTAGATACATTCAGAAAACAAGAAAAAAAAGAAAAGAAAGAAAAAGAAAAGAAAAAATGGATAGATTAATAAAAGAAAGAAAGATACATTCAAAAAAGAAAGAAAGAAAAGAAAAAGAAAGAAATTAGATACATTAATAAAAAGAACGAAATTAGAAATTCAAGAAAAAAAAAGAAAAAGAAAAGAAAAGGATAGATTAATAAAAGAACGAGGCAATTAGATACATTCAGAAAAGAAAGGAAAAAAAGAAAGAAAAGAAAAGAAAGAAAGAAATGGATAGATTAATAAAAGAACGAGGCAATTAGATACATTCAGAAAAAAAAAAGAAAGAAAAGAAAGAAAGAAAGAAATGGAATTGAAAAAGAAAGAAAGAAATGGATAGATTAATAAAAGAACGAGGCAATTAGATACATTCAGAAAAGGAAGAAAGAAAGAAAAGAAAGAAAAGAAAAAGAAATGGATAGATTAATAAAAAGAACAAGGCAATTAACATTCAAAAAAAGGAAGAAAAGAAAAAAGAAAAGAAAGAAAGAAATGGATAGATTAATAAAAGAACGAGGCAATTAGATACATTCAGAAAAGAAGAAGAAAGAAAGAAAAGAAAGAAAAAAAGAAATGGATAGATTAATAAAAAGAACGAGGCAATTAGATACATTCAGAAAAGGAAGAAAGAAAGAAAGAAAAGAAAAAAAGAAAAGAAAAAAGAAATGGATAGATTAATAAAAGAACGAGGCAATTAGATACATTCAGAAAAGGAAGAAGAAAAAAAAAGAAAAGAAATGGATAGAAATAAAAGAAATGGATAGATTAATAAAAAGAAAGAAAAGAAAGGCAATTAGATACATTCAGAAAAGGAAAAAAGAAAAAAGGAAAAAGAAAAAAGAAAAGAAAGAAAAGAAATGGATAGATTAATAAAAGAACAAGGCAATTAGATACATTCAGAAAAAAAAGAAGAAAGAAAGAAAAAAAAAAAAAAATGGATAGATTAATAAAGAACGAGGCAATTAGATACATTCAGAAAAGGAAGAAAGAAAGAAAAAGAAAAAAAGAAAAAATGGATAGATTAATAAAAGAACGAGGCAATTAGATACATTCAAGAAAAGGAAAAAAAAAAAGAAAAGAAAAGAAAAGAAATGGATAGATTAATAAAAGAACGAGGCAATTAGATACATTCAGAAAAGGAAGAAAAGAAAGAAAAAGAAAGAAAAAATAAAAGAAAGAAAGAAAGAAAAGAAATGGATAGATTAATAAAAGAACGAGGCAATTAGATACATTCAGAAAAGGAAGAAAAAGAAAGAAAAGAAAGAAAGAAATGGATAATTAATAAAAGAACAAGGGCAATTAGAACATTCAGAAAAGGAAAAAGAAAGAAAAAAGAAAAAGAAAAGAAAAAAAATTAATTAGATACATTTAAAAAAAAAAACAAAGAAAAGCAATTGGAATACATTCAGAAAAGGAAGAAAGAAAAAAAGAAAAGAAAGAAAAGAAAAAAAAATGGATAGATTAATAAAAGAACGAGGCAATTAGATACATTCAGAAAAGGAAGAAAGAAAGAAAAGAAAGAAAGAAATGGATAGATTAATAAAAGAACGAGGCAATTATACATTCAGAAAAGGAAGAAAGAAAAAAGAAAAGAAAAAAAAAGAAAGAAATGGATAGATTAATAAAAGAACGAGGCAATTAGATACATTCAGAAAAGGAAGAAAAGAAAAAAAAAAGAAAAGAAAGAAAGAAATGGATAGATTAATAAAAGAACGAGGTAATTAGATACATTCAGAAAAGGAAGAAAGAAAAAAAAGAAAAGAAAGAAATAAATAGATTAATAAAAAACGAGGCAATTAGATACATTCAAAAAAAGAAAAAGAAAAAAAGAAAAGAAAAAAGAAATGGATAGATTAATAAAAGAACTAGGCAATTAAGATACATTCAGAAAAGGAAGAAAGAAAGAAAGAAAAAGAAAGAAAGAAATGGATAGATTAATAAAAGAACGAGGCAATTAGATACATTCAGAAAGGAAGAAAGAAAAAAAAAAGAAAAGAAAGAAAGAAATGGATAGATTAATAAAAAAGAACGAGGCAATTAGATACATTCAGAAAAGGAAGAAAGAAAGAAAGAAAGAAAAGAAAGAAAGAAATGGATAAATAAAAGAACGAGGCAATAGATTAAATTCAAAGAAAAGAAAGAAAGAAATTAAAGAAATGGATAGATTAATAAAAAAAGCAATTAGATACATTCAGAAAAGGAAGAAAAGAAAGAAAAAAAGAAAGAAAATGGATAGATTAATAAAAGAACGAGGCAATTAGATACATTCAGAAAAGGAAGAAAGAAAGAAAAGAAAGAAAAGAAAGAAAAGAAATGGATAGATTAATAAAAAGAACGAGGCAATTAGATACATTCAGAAAAAGAAAGAAAGAAAGAAAAAAAAGAAAAGAAAGAAAGAAAAGAATAGATTAATAAAAGAACGAGGCAATTAGATACATTCAGAAAAGGAAGAAAGAAAGAAAAGAAAGAAAGAAATGGATAGATTAATAAAAGAACGAGGCAATTAGATACATTCAGAAAAGGAAGAAAGAAAAGAAAAGAAAAGAAAAGAAAAGAAAGCAATGATAGATTAATAAAAGAACGAGGCAATTAGATACATTCAGAAAAGGAAGAAAGAAAGAAAGAAAAGAAAAGAAAGAAAGAAAAATGGATAGATTAATAAAAAGAACGAGGCAATTAGATACATTCAGAAAACAAAGAAAAGAAAAGAAAAAAAAGAAAGAAAGAAATGGATAGATTAATAAAAGAACGAGGCAATTAGATACATTCAGAAAAGAAAGAAAGAAAGAAAAGAAAGAAAAAAGAAAGAAAGAAATGATAGATTAATAAAAAAACGAGAGGCAATTAGATACATTCAGAAAAGGAAGAAAGAAAAAAAAAAAAGAAAAGAAAAGAAATGGATAGATTAATAAAAAAAGAACGAGGCAATTAGATACATTCAGAAAAGGAAAGAAAGAAAAAAAGAAAGAAAAGAAAGAAAGAAATGGATAGATTAATAAAAAGAACGAGGCAATTAGATATCTTCAGAAAAGGAAGAAAAGAAAAGAAAGAAAAGAAAGAAAAGAAAAGAAAGAAATGGATAGATTAATAAAAGAAGAAAGGCAATTAGATACATTCAGAAAGGAAAGAAAGAAAAGAAAGAAAAGAAAAGAAATGGATAGATTAATAAAAAAAGAACATTAAGATACATTCAGAAAAGGAAGAAAAAAGAAGAAAAGAAAAGAAAGAAATGGATAGATTAATAAAAAAGAACGAGGCAATTAGATACATTCAGAAAAGGAAGAAAGAAAAAAGAAAGAAAAGAAAAAAGAAAGAAATGGATAGATTAATAAAAAGAACAAGGGCAATTAGATACATTCAGAAAAAGAAAGAAAGAAAGAAAAGAAAGAAAAAAAGAAAAAATGGATAGATTAATAAAAGAACAGAGGCAATTAGATACATTCAGAAAAAGGAAAAAAAAAAAAGAAAAAAGAAAAGAAAAAAAAAGAAATGGATAGATTAATAAAAGAACGAG